AGGTGTGCAAACGACGTTCAATTCTTCACTGAAAATCATTTTCACCAGCAATTTCTTTTTCTGTTCACTTTCAACATCTAAAAATTAAGCGACTAAAATAATTTAAATGAAGCCTCAGTGGCTGCAAATATTTTAAACGGCTTACCTAGGGTGGCCTGGGACGAGGATCCCAGCACCGCGTCTCTGCTGAACGTCGTCACAAACACACCCCAACTCATTTTAATGCCGTTGAAGGTAAGGCACAGGATAGATGTAAGCAGGACAATTAGCCAGCCGTAATACATCTTCAACTACTGGAGCGATTACTTCATTAGTATGCTAAAATCGGTTAGGCAGGTCGTGCAGCCGTGTAATTGCTGTAGAAACCAATGACTGTAGTTGCAAATATTACTGAGCACGTGTCACACTGTCAGTCAGTCGCGCGGTCTGCGTTTGTCCTGCCAGCATGGGGTTACATTTCAAGTTAGTTGGTGGGTAGTCAGGCGCGAGTTATTTCAAACACATACAAATCCAGATTATGTAATACATCTGAGGATTTTGACCTAATAAGTACGATTGCCTGTCCTTCCATATCTGACACTGCACAAGATAGAACAAGTAATCATACTTGAAGCGTTCGAGGGGATTGCCTTTATTTTATACATTTTTGTCGCAAATTTCTTTTAAGAGCCAAAGGAATGCGCCGCTATGGTGTGGGTATAATTCCACTGTCCTGTTGTTCGGTCGCCATTGTTGATGTAAGACTTAGACAAATAAAGCAAAGCCCAGGTTTAAGTAAATACCCGCTTCACCAATTTCTTCACCAAGTTATGAATTAGGTCTCTGTTTTCTCGAAGATATGAAAAACACTATATATGCATATGAGGAGGCTTTGAAACTTTACAAGATACAGCACCGCTATAATTTCCCTGCTACATAACCCTGTAGCCGGCCAAACTTTTTTGTTTTGCGAATGAGCCGCAAAATTAACAAAAATAAAAAATACGACAGCCCGACGCTTTTATATCTAATTTCATAATTATTATTACTATTTCTCAGAAACAAAATTGACTGACTATGAGCTTAATGACTCCCCTATTTAACAAAATTGTGTTCGTTACTATAACAACAAGCATTTAAAATCAGGGGAAAATCAGGTTTGTGAGTAAATCCAAGCACTATATAATCGGGCAATAAAGACGGGTCTCAATGTTGAGCCATGTTCCAGAACATTTGATTCTAACAACCACACGTAATTAATATGGGAAATGACATTTTATCTACACGTACATAAAGTTGATATTTGTAGACATGTGAGAGATTTCTTCACTTGTACCATGGGAGCTTTGACCAAGCAGAAAATGTGTGCAATACGCATCAGCATTACTGTATTCTGAATCGTTCATCCAGCAAATATTGCAAAGACTTTACCACGCAGCCCAGCATAAGAGCAGACCTATCTTCACATCAGTGGCGTCAGCATGCTTAAATAGCAGTCCAAAGTACGACCGAAGTTTAAGCGGCCGCGCATGCCCAGTTCACTGTGGATATGCATGCGCTGTAGGGGAAATCCCCCCGACCTCTCATCGCATCAGTCTGCTTTTTTATTTGTTCATTTATTTATTTTTCTTTTTTGCGGTTGTTGATACTACATCAGGAACTGTAGTCTGCGGCCTGCAAGTCGGAGCTTTATTCTTCTGAGACAAAAAGTTAAAAGCATCACATATCTACTGTACGTGACATCATGCAGATATGGGGGGCCCATAATTTTAAATTTTCCTCTTACACTAGTCTCTTTATAATGTATAGGACTAGCTACTAGTACGCATTCAGTTACGTCATACCCATGACGTAATACACCATGCCGACGTAATACGTGTCCTGGCCCCCGTTTCACAAAGAATCTTAAATCCGTAGTCGACTAGCTCGGGCTGGGTGACCTAGCTAGGTCGACTACGCTGAAGTCGACTAGGAGTGTTTCACAAAGAATCTAACGTCTTAGCTTGGCGTGCTTACCAAAGTCGACGCGCTCGAGAAACTCTTCAGGAGGAGGTGTAAAATTCCAAAAGTTTCACAAGACATGACGTTTGATGGCCTCTTTCGGCCGAGAACGATCGTTTATCAACAATAAAAATCAGCCAAAACACAAACAAAGTTTGTTTTTGAACTTTATTGATTAGTTTAACTTCAATACAACTTCTATACAACGGACGTCTAGCGGTCAAAAACATAAACAAACACGCAATCGGCTGGGTAAAGTGGCATTTTATTTTTTATTTCAATATTCCATAAATGTCAGTGCTATTCAAGGGTATTATAACACAATATCTTGAAGGAGGTGTGTTCTTTCCAAATTTTTGTTGTTTATGCTCTCATTTACCGAGTTTTAGTTGGGCTTGCCGACTTAAGTCTCCTCCCGAGGAGGCTTGAAATCGTCGACTAGCAGCTAAGAAAAAAATGACGTAAGCGACCTTTTAGATTCTTTGTGAAACGGGACTTAGTGACGTAACGACTTAATTACGTTGGTAACCAAGCTCTAAGTCAGGGAAACCAACTTAAGTTTTTTTGTGAAACGGGGGCCTGAATTACTGCATATGTTTCATCACAGTCAAATAACAATGAACGCACTCAATGCGTCATTTTTCGTTAACTCAATGTTTTGTTTAACACAGTTGAATGAACACAAGAAGTCATTTAATAGGTTGAACTATTTGGAAGAATTAAGTCTTTTAGGTTTGGTACTAGCCCTGGCAAATCAGTGGTCCTATTGTATGATAGCCTTGTTCCTCTCCCTGACCTGTGTCTCCAAACTTTACAATAGACACTGGCAGATAATCCGACTGAGTGATGTTACCTTCGTCTAATCGCCAGACGAAGTCATTTGAGTCGCAGTTGCATACTAAGAAAGGAATATGCAATATGAATACGATGTAACCTATGCATATTTTACTAGGTGTACTAGCTGTATATGGTATAGTTTATTATTTCATTCTGAGAACTTAAGGAAATATCACCCAGGCAAACATGCACGAAGTAGAAATGAGCAATATTAGAAAAACTGTTTCGGTGTATTTGTCAAAACGAGTACATGTATGTCAAAGTTACTGACCTTCTGTAGGGTCTGCGCAAGAACCATCCATTGCGCATACACAATTGTTAAGGGCGCCCTCTGGATCCCCGCCCGCCCAAAATGGCGCCTGTTGTCCGTGCCGATCATACCAGGCAGCCTTATTTCTTATGAACGACCCGTAGCATTCGTACTTGATGTATTGATTGCAGTTAGTAGCAACGATATCTACATAGGCAGCTATTTGATCCGTATTCACTGAAACATGGAGCGGAAGTCAAACATTTTGGTCTTAAAATTGTAAAGATAAATTCAATTTTGAATTACGACTCGCGGGAAGAGCTTTTATTCAATATGCAAAACTGACTGTAAATAACCATACAACGGCTGCAACTCCCGTTGTTATTGAACAATGGAACATGCAAGTATAGTCGTCATAAAACCTCACAAGTATTAACCGATTTTTACCTTTGGTACTAGTACATGTAGACTGAAAACTGAAAATTTTGTTCTAAAGGCTCTGTCACACTAAGCGTATAGAGATTCGCCTGAATACCGCATGGCAGATCAATTAAATGCACATACTGTATTTGAACGTATGAAAACACCTGTTTTTTTGCGTATTAGAATGAACATGGCAGTGTATGGAATTGTTTTTGAACAAGTTAAAAAATCTAAGTATGCAAACGTACACCAACGTCTGACGGCGTACTCGAGACGTATACGACAGAAGTCTTAGGAACCCCTGGCCTTGTGTCTCTGGTTATGGGCAGCTTTTCTCCTACTGGTACGTTATTACTAAAGTTAATACCCTATAGGGCGCATTTAGAACAATTTGATCCGTGGTCGTACAGATCTGCGGGCTAAATATGGCTGATCCACTTAAAAGCGATGCCGAAAAATTCCCTGATGATTTCCTCGCCTCCACACGCGCCATTAAAAGGATCTAATACTCGTATATAGTTGCGTTAAATCGAATATACCTACTTGTGCATATAAGAATTGGATTATGGTGCACAAAACTTGAAATGGTTTCAAACAAAAGTGGAATTAATTATGATTTCATGCTATAATACAACTAAGGTTGAATGATTAAATAAAGTGCAGCATTTTGCTTAATATATATATATA